ACAACCACGTGTAACTCCTGGTGGCTCACAACCACGTGTAACTCCTGTTCCAGGAGAATCAGCACTTTCTCCTGACTTCTGTGGGCATGTGATACACATACAAATATTAGCATTTATACAAATAAAATTTTAAAAAAGTCTTTGTGGAGCCTATTAAAAACCTAATAAAGGATCCTCATGTCTATCTTATAGCAGAAAAAGGCTGTGTAGCAAGCTCAAGGGGCTCACGTTCCTCTGTCCCTGTCAAACAAAGGTCAGGCCTTTCATAGTTCGCTCTTTGCGTCTCAGTTCCCCTCAGAGCAGTGGTCAAGGGCAGTACAACGCATTTCTTTGTTTTGTTTTGCGGGACAGGGTTTCTCTGTGTAACAGCCCTGGCTGTCCAGGACCTCGCCCTGTAGACCAGGCTGACCTTGAACTCACAAAGATCCAGCTGCCTCGGCCTCCCAAGTTCTGGGATTAAAGGCGTGCCCCACCACTACCCGCAGGAAGCATTTCTGCAATCTGGAAGCTGAGGCAGAGAATCAGACGACTTGCCACAGGCCACAGGGCTGAAAGAGTTAGGTTAAGTAAAGATCACCACTCACTGCGGCAAGCACGCTTTGTCTAGCCATATCCTTGGATCACTCTCAGTCTAGTATCTTAAAACTGGTGCTACTCAGGGGCCATTGAAAAACCAAAGAAAACTCATGTGTGTGTGTGTGTGTGTGTGTGTGTGTGTGTGTGTGTGGTCAGATGTGTGCATGCACGCATGTGTTTGGAGAAGCAAAGGCTCAGGCCCACCCAGCACAACCTGCAGGTTCCAGGTCTATTCTTTTACCTTGCACAGCCAGCTCAGCGCTGGCATAGATAGTGCCATGCTTGTTTTCTGCCACACACTGGTACATGCCAGAGTCCTCCAGGCTCAGCTTAGAGAATCGCAGGTCCCCAGCCAAGACCTCCACTCGGTTCTGTGTAGAAGAACCAAGGCAGAGCAGGGAGATCAGGACTGTTGGGAGGACAGAAGAGGCAGGAGGGGTGGTACAGAGGCTGTAGGCCAGCATCAGGTTGGGGGTATCTTAGGCCTCCTGGGGGCCAGACTTAGGATCACGTCCCCATTTGGTGGGATCCCAGATCTCTGTGATGCTGCACAGGTAACCCACCTGTGGCCACGTGACTCTGAGATGGGAAGAAGCAGCAGAACATCCCAAGACCTCCTGGTTGGCCCAGCCAGTAAGAGGGCCAGGCAAGCAGAAGAGGGTGGTGGTGTGGGAGGGAGCCCCGGTTTCCTACCTGGGAGGCCAGAGGCTCCCCGTTTCTCAGCCAGCGCACCATGGGCCGAGGCTTGCCTGCTGCTGCACAGGCCCAACGCAGGTTGGAACCAATGTCGGCTTCTGTGTCTGAGATCACCTTGAGCCACTCAGGCTGAGCTGTGGGAGAAGTAAGAGAGAAAAAAACCTGGACTGGCTGGGCGGGGCCTTAGACTCATTAAATAGGGAATTAGAAAGTTGCAGTATTTGTACATGACAGCAGAGGGCGCTGTTGGTATTCTGGGATGGAGCGACAAAGACGTGGGGGCAGAAGAAAGCTGGCACTCTATGGTTGTGCCAGTGACTGCTTTAGCAACTAAATCTCTTGAAAGACACGTGCTTTTTGTATGCCCCTGCTGAGCTAGGCAATGGCCTCTCCCACTACGCTTAGCAGCCCTGGCAAGGGCGAGGCCTTCCAGTCTCTTGATTTTTCATGCTGTTTCCTCAAAGAGAAGGGAGGTGTCTCCAGCTCTGTACCCTGCACAATGATGCGTCCCTGGACGGTGTCACGGCCCTTAGAATTCTCTGCCTCACATTCATAGGTGCCCTCATCTTCAAAGCTCACGCTGGGGATCTGCAGGGTGGGCTCTGCTGTGGCCCACTGCGGGGACAGAGAACCATCCACTTTACGCCACTTGATCCTGGGAACAGGGCTGACAGGGGAGAAAGAGCCAGAGGGCAGTGAGCTGAGCTGGGTGCGTGCCTCATGTGTCCCCAGAGCCTACACTCACACTCACGGGCCCTCCTGAAGAGCTGGGCAAGGTGGCGGGGACTCGTTTGGGAGGAGACAGAGGGAAAGAGGTCACAAACAAGACTAGGAACATCCGCAAGGAAGGGCCAAGAAGAGGGCTCCCCTATTGTAGGCCCCTGTTCCCAGCCACAGCCGGGAAGCCAGTGCAGCTGATTTTCCATGTGATCTGTACTCTGAAGTCAGCTTGCTCTTGCCCCACAGCGGTCAGCAGTGGCCTATGACCGGGGTCTTTACAGGTCCCCTTTCCCATCGCCCCACTTTCCCAAGGCACTTTATTAGTAATCTGTATACTAAAATGGGCTAGGGAGCCACTGACTCTAGAGAGGTCCACATATTGCTCCTTATACATGTTTTCTGGAGGCCCAATTATTTCCCACATAGCAGTGGCCAAGAAGCCCTGCTCTCATGGATCCTTTTTCTGGGAGAGCAAGAAAGAGGCTTTCCCTTGTAATTTTTAAAAGACCTAATGTAACATTCATGCGACACTTGTTAAATGCCAAGCATCATTCTTAGGGCCTGGCATGCATTAACTCATCTAATCTTTGTAACAATCTTAGAGGGCAGGCACTGTTACCATGACCACCCACCAGTCAGGAAGCCCAGACTGAGATTTTAGGTCGTTTGCCAGAGGTCTCTGAGTCAGCAAGCGGTGAACCCGGGCTTTGAACCAGCAGGATGGGGTTTGCACACTGTGCTTCCTGCCTCTAGCCCTGGGTGCTCCGCAAACTGCCTAGGGCTACATTTACTGTCAGGAGGACCAGGATTCGCTCTCGCCTATAAAGCCCTCCTATGTTATGTCCTTCTGGCAGAACTGACTTCGCTTGGTGGTGGGTGATGTCTGTTGTGTGACCAGCACCGTGCTAGCCTGCTGACTTTGCCCTCTCTCATCCCAGGATCCTGCTTCTGAGGGGCTTTGAAATGAAACTCTGCCCAGTCCCAGGGTACTCTTGTCCCTCCTATGGTACTTACTTCCCAAAGGCAAAGCACTCCAGGGTGACCTGCTGCCCAACCAGTGCATAGGTCTCTGGGGGGAACCTGGCTTTGATGCTGGGAGCAAAGAGTCGGGGATCTGGGAAGAGAGACATGGAAATCACACACAGAGGACTCCAGGGAGTTGGTCTGTGTTTAGGGGCCGTGCCTTCCAAAGACCACAAATCTCCAAACATAAATGTTTAGAATCTGTAAACATTCCCTTTCCCCTGAGGTCCTGGGCAGGGCACCCCAGGAGGATCAGCTGCCCAACCAGTGCATGGATCTCTGACAGCAGGGCCCCAGGCCCTCTGAGCTGTTCTTCTTGGGCTCAAGGGAACTCCCAAAGCTGACTGCCTCTTTCAGCCCGGCCTCACAGCCCACGGTCCTGACCTTCAGCAGCCAGGTTGAGCTGCGCGAACTTGCTGAAGACACTCTTGGTGGAGAAGTCCATGTGGCTGGTGGCCAGACAAGAGTAGTTGCCTAGGTCTGAGGCATTGGTCCGAGCAATGTAGAGGTTTCCTGTGGTCTGGGACACGAAGTGACGCCCATCCGTTGGGATGAAGTTGGGGAACTCATTGAGGAGCCAGCGGTAGGACAAACCTAGAAAGGAAGGGAGTTTGAGGAGACTGGGGTGTGCTGGGTTTACAGGCAATCTGGGCATGCTGAATATTCTGCCTGCTCAGGAGAGCTTGTAGCTCTAAACAGGGGCTGAGGAGACATGTAGAAGGAAGAGATGGCTTCAGCTCTGTCCTTGGGTACTGGGATCACACAACCCACCCAGGAAATAGCACAGCCTTTTAAAGTCCAGACTTACCATCTCCTGTCTTGTCTTTCCTCTCCCGAGCATCTAGATGTCCTTTCTGGTGCAGCCCCACCCCCCCGGTGGCTCAGGAGCTCCACTTACCTGGGTAGTGGGCAGGTGGGTTACAGGGTAGCATCACCCCCCAGCCCTCATGGGTTTTCACCGGGTCTCTCTCTTCCTTGGAGAACTCCTGCAGAACTGGAGAAGGAGAGCAGGGCTCAGGCACCGTCTTCGAGCTTGGGGCTCCCCAGCTCCTCCTCCATGGGAAAGAAGAAGTTTCTAGCATGCCATTTGTGGGCAGGAAAGCCTGGGGCTGCCACCTGTCCTTCCTGGGCACCTTTTCCTGGCCCCATCTACCCACACCCAACATCTTGGCTCCCACGGATCTCACAGCCGAATCGGAGGACCGCCTCCTTGCTGACGACAGTGCCCACTGGGTTTGAGGCTAGGCACTGGTAGACACCAGCATCCTGTGCCTTGGTGGGGCTCAGGATGACCAGGTTGCCCCCCATCAGCTGGTAACGGGAGCCGGGTTCCAGGTTCATAATAGTGCCGTTCATCTTCCACCTGCAGCAGGAAGGAGTGATATTGGGGTGGGACCTCAGGCCTGAATGGGTAGGGCTGATGTGAGGAGAACCCGTACGGCTACCCAGGGCCTCCCAGCATCCATGGCTCACCTGTAGGTGGCTGGAGGACTAGCTCGGGCACGGCACGCCAGCGTCACCTGATCCTCTGTGGATTCCTCTGGGAAGAGCAAGCCTACAGGCTGGTCTTCGAAAACAGGTCCAAAGGTAGCTGGGGTTCCCTGGACAAAACTCCATCCTGCAAATAGGGGATACCACCAGAGGCTCAAGGTGTGAGACAGTCAAAGTCCAATGTTAAGGGCATGTTGTCCAGCAGAACTTAGTGGGGATGCTTCACTTTCTCATTGTCCAGTAGGTGGCCATTTGTGGCTACCGAGGATCTGGAAGGTGATTTAGAAACCAAAATTGAATTCTAATTTTCATGAATTTAAATAGGCTGGGCAAGTCCCATCAATCCATGAGTGCACTGTCTGTCACCTACCTCGGTCACACAGTGAACATTTGCTCTATACCTGGCACTGGGCTGTGAAAACGAATCAGACACACGTTCCCTTGCATTGAAGGACCTTGCAGTACAGGGAAGGAAACCGTGAGCAGACAGCACAGGGGACCACATCACAGAGAGCATTCGGGACAAGACTGTGAGACTATCAGAGACCCTCACACAGGTGTGGCACATGGGAAGTCACCAGCAGGAAATGCAGAAAAGGGTATGTGTTCCTGGAGTCCGGTGCCCTCCTAGGGCAGTGTATCCAGTGAAAAGTGCTCATTGGGAGGCTGGGCTGGGCCTCCTTGGGCAAGTTCTAGCCCCCTCCCCTGGGTATTGATCTGGGGTCTGCCCATGAAAAGAGGAAGACTTTACTTCCCAGGTCCATGACAGGGAGTCGGAGGAGATGAAAGGCTGGAAGTTGGGTGTGTGGTAGCGGGTCAAGCGGGGACAACTTTATAAACTGTGTCACATCTCAGGGAAAAAAAGGCCCAATGACCACACAGCCGATCAGGCAGGTAGTGTTGCTTAGCAAACGGGGTTCACATCTGCCAGCCCCACTGCAGTCACCACCTTGCTCTGCATACGCCATTGTCCCATCTCACCAGAACAGGGTCAGCAGGCAGGGGGCTGGACAGTACTTCGCACCTGCATCAGCACAGTGGGGGCTCTGCCACTGTGGGATCAGATGGGAGCCAGGCCCCTTAATTGGCTCCTATCTCTCATGCAGCTGATTTCAGACCTTCCTTGTCAGGTGGGGGGATGGGAGGAGGGAACTCCATTAACCAATTAGTGCCTTCTTTCTGGGCACATCCAGCTGCCAGCCCTCTTCCAAGCGCGGTCCCTCTGCTGCAGCTGAGGCCCAGCTCTGGCCTCTTGGGAGTGGGGACATCTGTCAAGCAGCCCTGTGTCTGAGGAATGAGGTAGACTTCCAGAGTGGACTGCGGAAGACCTCCCCGGAGTCCTGTCTGTGCTGCCCACCCCCACCCCACACCAAGTGCTTGTCACTTTGCCGCTGCCCACTGCCCGAGGCCTCAGAGGTGGTGTGTGACAGCAACTGCATCATCTCCCCCTGGAAAGCCCAGCTTAATCCAGAGTTAATGATGATGGCGGAGGGTGGGGAGGACCCTGTCCCAGCTGGGACCACCTGCAGAGAGGGGAGAGGGAGGGCCAGAGGGAGGAAAAGGAAGGATGTGGAGACAGCAGTGGTGGCCGGCTGCTGGGAACCCCCTTATACAATAGCAGCTTCCAGGAACTCAGCCCTGCTTGCTCATTCCATATGTATGTTACGTATTCACAAGTAGCTCTACTCACTGGTAATAATTAAGCCACAATAAGAATAGTGCTGTCGATCCCACTGCTCACTGTCACCTGATGCCACACTCTGAATTCTAAGAAGGGGGGGGGTGTGATTCTTATCTCACCAACAAAGACTGAGACTTAGGAAGGTTTAACAACTTGCCCCACCTCAAAGCAAGGTGGGAGATCTGCCTCATCCAGCCTCATTTTGCAGCCAGCATTTTTAACCACAGTGGTCATGATTTCTGACTTCAGGTTTTGGAACCATCTGAGGCCCTGGTTCCACCCCAGAGACCTGACATCAGAAGTTCTGGGAATGAAAAACAAAATGCTTCTGAAAGGGGCTGGAGTGGAGGGTATCAGGGTACAGGCTGCACCTCCCTCACACCCGCACCCCACAGCCCCTGGTGCACAGACAATGTCACATGGCCCACACTTCCCTCCAGAGCTACGGACATACCCGTATATCCCATCCCACAGGTGACCACGGACACAAAGTCCTGGGCAAAGCACCTGTCCCACATGGCCTCACTCTTTGCCCCTGTTTACTGTTTTCCCCCAGAAAAGACATCAGAAATGTTGCAGTGGGAGGAAGGAGCCAGAGAGATGCTGTGAGAAGCAAGATGCCACTCCTCTCTTTGCCGGGGGCTGTGAGTGGTCCAGAGCTCTATTTTAGGGTCAGGTGAGCAAGCCAAGAACAGAGAAGCACTTTCCAGGTCTCAGATAAGAGTAGATAGAGGATTGGGCCACACATGGGAGACAGCAGCCCAGGTCCTGGCCCTTTGGCAATTGCCTCCTGACCCATTTAGATCAGGGTAGTCTGAGCGGTGCTCACACCTCTTGCTTTTAGTTCCCCCGGTCTGGAGGACCCTGGGGCAGATAACTAGACCTGGGGTCTTGGAGTTGGCCCAACTTCTCAGCACCCCCATAAAGCTGGGTGCAGGGCGAATCAGAGCAGCAGGGACCCAGTGAGAGCTTCTGAGCATGCCAGCCAAGACAAAGATCTAGAAGGCATGGCTTGAAGGGTTGTGGGCAAAACTCCAGGGTAGGGTCTAGACTCCAGGACTGCGGGATGAGTGCTCCTTCTCCCATGGAGTTCTTGGGGGAAAAAAGAAACTCCTGTTGATCTGAGTTTGGGGTTCAGCCAAACAGTAGCTAGCTGGCCCCTCAGCACAAGCCCTGGAGAGTTCAGCTCCAGGACATGAACCCTCCAGCTCTGCTTGCTCCCTTCTCTGCCCTCTGCCAACTGTTTCTCATCTCTGATTTGAGTACGGAGATCACCATGGAGATGGGACCCTCTGTCAGCAACTCTGCTCTGCCTCATCTGGTCCCTTTCTGCCCCTCCCATCCAGGTTGCCTCAAGAAAGTCTCTCAGGATTCTATGAAGTACCTGTTAACCCCTTGGGTCCAGGACCCTGGAGCATTCTTCAGAGAAAAATTTCTGGATATGCTGGAGGTGTCCTATGGCCTGGGGTGTCCAAAGTGGCTACTGAGCATTGACCATGTGGCAAGCACAGCCAAAGGCATTATTTTCATTTAAATCACAAGTTAGCTCAGGGGTGACTCTTGGTGATGCCTACCACACTGGGCAATGTTGTTCTAGAGCTCACAGCTCCAACGGTTGGCATGGAGATCTGGCTTTGCCACATTGTGCTTTCTAACACAGGGTAAGCCATTCAGCTTCTCTGGGTCATTTTTCTTCATCTTCAACATAACCAGGATCCATTTCCTCTCCTCCCGACTCCACAGGTCAGGTAAGATTCACAGATGGGAACAATTCAGCAAGAAAATGGCCTCAGCAATGCAGAGGAATTGCCGCCTAAGTGGTAGTAATGACTTAACCATAGAATTCGGCACTCTTACCTGGAGAGGAGACCAGGGCCACTGTAGCCAGCACCAGCAGCAGCGAACATGACTTTTTCCTGCCGTGTGTCCCCATGGTGGGTGTTTCAGGCAGAGGCAGAGTCCAGAGGGCAGGAACCAAAGCCCAGCTCCAGAAGAATCAGCTGGAGACGGAGAGACACCTAAGGAGACAGAGGACAAGAGCTTTCAGTCACGGCGCCCCTCCCAGCTGCAAACACATCTGGTGAGTGACTTGCACAAGCACTCATCCTCCTCGGGTCCCAGAGGAGGGGCTTGGCTTTTATCAAGGAGCTCTTCCCGGGCTGAGTACCTCCTGCTGCCCCGGCCCCTCACCTCCCCTGGGAGTCTGGTCTGCCCGGTGCCTCTCCCTCCATCCAGCAGGTGCCGATCAGGAAGTGGAAGCAGAACTAATTGGAAGGCAGGAACCCTCCTGCATGTTTGCTGGCAATTGTGATCCCTCTGTGTCAGAGGATCCCCGAGAGAGTGGGGTGTGTGCCTGGGAAGGGAGCCAACAACATCTTCCTGTGGTACTTGGGGACCAGGGCAACTCTCTGCTCTTTTCCCACAGTCGCCTGGGTGGGGGCCACCAAGCCCCTCTGGAGCTGCACAGTCTCTGAACCAGCACTGATTTCCTCGAAGGGAAGTTTTATGACTTAGCCCTGCCCCAGGCTGGGGTCTCCAGATGCAGCACCAAGGTTCTTTGACCTTGGTCCTATCAGCCCCACTCCCACCACACCGGTTCACCGCCCAGCTTCTATCTTACACCGGGATAGCAGAGACTGGGCCGGCCACAGAGAGCAGGACCACGGCTGAGGAGATGAGGACCTCATGTGAAGAGGCAAGGACAGGGATGGGGTCACCTCTCTATCTTTTCCTCCTCAGGAAGAATTCCCGATTTCTGGGGGACAGGGACTCCCAGGAGCAACCTTCTAGATATTGGGATGAGCCTGGTCACCACAGCCCCTGCCTCCCTCTCAAGAGCTACCTCTCAGGGCACCTGGCTGCAGATTCTACCAGCCTGCCCTCCCTCCTGCCTGCAGAAGGCCCGAGGAAAGGCCCTCCCCACTAACTGGCTGTGGAGCCCTGCTGTCTGCATCTGTGTCCCTGGTGAAATCGCTGTCTGTCAGGTCCTTCAACTCAGGTTCTCATGCTTCCTGAGAGAGCAGTCAGGACCCCTTCCCCGTGGGCCAAGAAGGAAGACTATAGATGAATGAGGGCTCGGGATGCGCCTCACAGAAAAAAATCCCAGCCCTCCTCCACCTGGCTTCGCGCATTTCCTCCTTCCAGCTGCCAAAAGTCAGGAGGAAGAGTGCCCTGGGCTCACCAGGGTGTCGCAGGGATGCCCAGAAAACTCAAGAAGCATGGGTGGGGGTCAAGAACAGAAGCATCTCCTTTTCCCCCCTGTAAAATTGGTTTTATTTTTAATTATGTGTACTTGTGTGGGTATGCACATGTGAGTGTAGGTGCCCACAGATGCTGGAAGAGGGTGTCAGACCCCCTGGAGCTGGATGCTGGGAACCTAGCTCAAGCCCTCAAGAGCAGTCCATACTCTTAACCATGTCTCGTCTCGCTAGCCCCTGACGTCACCTCTTTACAGCTCTATGGGGTCAGGCAAATTATTCCCCTGATGTGGAGTCTCACATCACTTCCCATCAGTAAAATGGGGATGATGTGAGCACTACATAATGGTTCTGTGGCTACATGTAATGTCCCCTGTACTGGTCATCAATGGCTGCCTGCGGTGTCCCCTGTACTGGTCATCAGTGGTTGTGAAGCCCCGGAGTCATTTGGACCTCTGTCAGTCTACTGTGGGGAAAGAGGGAGAGGATGGCTCTAGACGCCCCCCTTCTCCTGCCTCCATCTTCTTTGTTATCCACTTCCTGCTCTTGACTTTCCCAGGATGCTCCCTTGTTGAGGAATGTGAAAATCATCCCTGTGACTGGAGAATCGTGAACTCGCGCCTGGCATGGGGAAGCTGATCATCATTTACTCCTTCCCTTTGCCAGCCGTCTGGGCTAGAACTCAGCTCAGGCTCACGGGGCTGGCCTGGGAGGAGGCCGGGCTGTGGGTGCTTATCTGACTACACCAGAGCAAGGCAGAGATGAAGTCACAGGGGTCGCCCCAGACATGCGGTGGTCAAGATTCTGCATTGTCTTTCTGGTGAAGACTGTAGATTATGGATAATCCAATCCCATTGCCCCCCTTAAACTTTAGTCCAGGCTTTTTATCGGTCATCAGTCTGATCTAAATGCCCTGGGCGCCCTCTAGGGACCAAGACCTTAGGAGGATGTGGGCTTCCCCAGTGTTATCAGATATATAGTGATATATAGTGAGTCCAATTGCTCTGAATAAACTCACTCACAAGTCTGGAGTAAAGGTTGGAGCTTACTGCCTTCCTGAAGATAAGGCAGCCAACATCCACTCTGCCTTGCATTCGTTCCCATTATCATGCATGCATACGTGCATGCATGTGTGCACACACACGCACACACATGTACACGTGTGATGGCGATGGGAGGCAAGCCTCTTGTACCAGCTGGGGTCACAGGAATGTGCTATCACATCCAACCCCATTACAGTGTTCAGTGACCATGAGCCAGGCATTGTGCTGAGCACACAGGAGGCAGGAACTGAGACGGCACTCCCTGGCCAGCAGAGAGTAGCCGTGAGATGCGCTTCCGAGTTCAGAGATGAGTCATCTCCCCGCCCCATATGCCATGTTCTAGAAGGCCCAGGATGGAGAGGACCTTTTTGGTCGGAGTGAGGCTGGAGTGGAGTTATGCCAGCCCCAGATTAGCCTTGCCAGCTCTGAGCCAGCCAAGCCTTGCCCAGGCCAGCTGCCCTGGTGCAGGGGTGCAGGCACAGGCTGTCACAGTCGGGTACAGGCTGTCATCATCAAGGGGCTGGTGGTTCTGTGAGGGCCATGACAGAATAGGCCACTGAGAGCTTCAGGGACACTAGAAGTTTCCAGTTCAGGAAACAAAGAGTGAGAGGCGGGGACAGTTTGGGGACAGCAGACTATAAGCTAGACTCCAGCACACGACGGGGTTTCTTGGCTAAGGATCTCTATGGAGTCAGACAAAAACAAAACAAAATAAAACAAAAGTACTAACTCAACAGCATTTTGGTGCTTCTTGAGATGTTCAGCTCAGGCCCCAGCTCTTTCTTTCCCCAGTCAAGGAGACCAGAGATTAAAGGGTGAGGTAGTCATGAATACAGTGTGGTGGGAAGGGAGGGTTTGGAGCACAGCAGAAGACAGAGAGATGTAGGGTCAACCTTTAAGGTAGTGCACGGGCCTCTTGTAAGCTCACCTCGGCCTCTGCCTTGTAGCATGTCTCCCAGGTTATAGAGCAGGTTACTGAACCAGTGAGATCTAGCATCTCTAGCTACTATAACCTGAGTTACTGCCTTCAGGACTAAACCCTTGCACCTCAGTTTCTCCTCTGTAAAATGGGATCAAGAAGAGTCACCTCAAGGGATGATGGTGAGGTCACAACCATACCTGGGCTGCTGCCAACGCTTGGGAAAGATCAGATCTTATAGCCAAGCTCCCCCTGTCTCCAGGATATCGACACACGCAGCAACTGTATAAGTCAGGCTTGCTAACAAAGTCTTAAGCTAATGGTAAGACCCCTGCCATCTCTTGAAAGAGCTCCTCCCTCCCATTCCACAGGGGTGATGTAATGAGGCAAACTCCAGCAATCACCCCAGACTATGGCACAAAGATAGCCCACTGGCAGACTTGTACCCAAACCGCATGTTCAGGAAACATGGTGGCCTGGGTGTGCCCATGGCATTCTCAGTGATTTTTCTCTCATGTGCCCAACTCCTGACTAGGGCAGAGAGAGACTGGGCTCAACGCCTGTCATCCGCTTAGGATGGGGATCACTACCTGGCAGCAGGACCATCAAAGTCCAGGAGGGTCTCAGGCACCACAGTCTGCTGGGAGGATGGGGCTCTGAGCAGAGGGGTGGAGGCTGCTGGGGCACTCAGGGTGCCAGGCCAGGCACCATTGGACAGGGCAAGGGCCTGAAGTAGAGAGGTGCTTAGGGAGGAGTGGATGGGATGGGGATCTTCAGCTCCAAGCGAGAGGGGGTGGAAGTCCTCAGTTCTCTCTTTCCCCAGCATGCGCGACTCTTGTGTTTGCAGCCAGTTCCTGAGGCATCAATGCAGATGATAAGTCCCTTGGAGATACTGTAATTCTCAGCTCAGGGGGCTGTCTGAATTGTCAACACCAAGTGGGGGAGTCTGGCCCTTGGTCTGCACGCTGGAGTCTAGAGGCTCTTGGAGTCTACTCTTCAGAGTTAAGAAGCCCAGAGGGATGGGGGTGGGTGGGGGTGGGATGACTTAGGTCTTTCGGGGAGGAAGTATGAAGACTAGGGTCCAGTCAGTTGCCCCACCCTGCCAGCCCTTCTCTGTGTAGTATGGGGCAGCAAGCAAAGGCCTTGAGAGAAGGATCTCACATGCCACACTTTATTTTTTTTATACAGTGCAGCCTCCTTCTGCTGCTCTTTAGCTCCAGTCCTCAGAAGGATCCTCACTGGAGCTGGAGGAGCTTGAGTAATTGTATCAACTTGTTTCTAAAGGATCAAATTTGGAGGAAGAGGACCTCATGCATTAGCAGGCAATTTTTGCATGCCACTCCCTTCACTGAGAGGAGACTCCTTATTCTCACCCCACCCTCCAGCGCCCAGACAGTTTTCTGCAAGCCGGTGGGAGCAGGAGCCTGTGCATGTGGGGACCTCAAAGTCCTGGGGATTGACAGATGTTGAGAGGGTCCAGGCTCCCTCTGGAGGAGACCCGATGGTTTCAAATCAGGCTGGGCGCCTGTGAGCAGGGCAGGGTTGACTTCTGCAGTTTAGAAGGGGGCCGTATGGCTGAGATGGATGTTGAGGTATATTCTAGTGAGTCGTAGGATGGAGGATGCTCAGGCTTGGGACGAGGACATTGCCCACCTTTGTTTTTGGCTGCACCTCACTTAGTAGACAAAGAAACACGGACTCATTAAACCACAGAAGGAACTTTGTTCCAGGAGGGTGAACTCTGCCCTATGAATGCCCGACGTTAGCAACATCCCTGGGGATTTCAGTCTATATGAGAGTCAGCGGTCTTCCTGAAGAACCAGAAATACCAGCATGCAGGCAGATGAAAAGGATGTCATCATTTGCCATCTGAAAGAGGATGACCCGAGGCTAGAGGAAATGTACCTGTCACCCAGCCTAACTTCTGCCTCTAGGCATGACTGTCTCAAGTCTTGGACCTGACACTGACCCCAGCTCTGCAGCCATCTTAACAGTCACGTGACTGGAGTTTGCCCTATGGCTCCATTTCCTTCTCAGAAGTACCTACTGACGGATCCAAGTCCCTCATACTTCAGCAGCATGTTCTTTGCTCTGGGTCTTCCCTCTGTGCCAATAAACCTCGTCTTCCCTGATGCTCCGGTACCACACTGAAGACTCTCCAAAAACACTAATACTGCCCCAAACCCATCGTACAGATCGGCTTTGAAATACGTTTCCCCACCATTATTTGGCTGGAAAAACTTTCTGGCAGAGGGACTCTGCTCTCTTCAAGCTCTCCCGAATGCAGGGCTGATAGCAGCAGCGTAGAAGCTGGCTCACATACATCCTGGCCAGGTAGGCATTCCTTAGGAGAGAGCCGAAGTCTGGCCAAGGTAGGACACACAACTGTCCAGGGGATCACAGGTACTCAGAGTTAATATGCTTGTGCCTCCACTCAAACTGGCAGAAAGTGGAGGTGCCCAGCGGAGGGTCACTAGGGATGGAGTCTGAGGTTAGACTGAGGGCCTGTGGACCTCTGGGGTAGGAGATAGAGGGAATGACTTGGACTGGTGGAGACTGAGGAAGGTCAGAGAGCCGGCCCCTTCTGTGGCCCCGCCTCCCTAGGCAGCGTGCCTCTCTTCCCAAACCCCTCACTTCACCCGGACAAGGGCAGTGTGGACCTTGAGTGTCTTTGATGCCATCAGCTTAGGAGACTCCTTGTCTGTCTCATCTCCTGCTGGCCTCTAAATTGGCCGAGATCTCCCACAGGATAGTAGGAAGGACTTTGACCTTGTGGTTGAAGCACTGAGTGATTCTGCCTGAGCCTGGCTCTCCAGAGTGAGCTGGTGGAGCCCCTGGGAGGAGCTGAATGCTTCTGACTGGGAGGCAGCCCTGAAATATGACACCTCCAGACCATTTCTCTGCCTCAGCCCTGGAGCCTCAGCCGCCTTGCCCCTCCCACAGGTGGCCCACACTTTGCTGTCCTTGCTGTTTAGTGATGTGTCTGGTCCCTTTGAACGGAACCTAGGACAGGTGGTAGATCATCTCAGAGCTAAGCAGATGATGGGACATCTGAGAGAATGCCTGAATTAGCTGCCTGTATGAGCTCAGGACCAGGCTATGTGGACAGTACCTTCCCCTGCCTCCTTGGCAGAAGGAAAAGGTGTTCAAACCCACCCCTGCCCAGGGCTGAGGTCATTGCATGCACAACCACTCAGTGCTGGTCACACTAATTACAAACGTACTAACAACTTGGGCAGCTTTACCCTGCGGGCAGGAAGAAAGCTCAACTCCCCTGTCTCCTGGAATCGGGAATGGGGTGCACAGAGTTTCGCGGTCTGGGTTGCCCCTGCAGTCCAAGACACTGCCCTACAGGTACAGCCTCATCTTACCCCTTGCCCCTGAGTGCTACAGCCAGTCTTAGAGGTGGTCTTAGAGGCTTACAGACAGTCCCTGGCAGGTGCGGCTTCTCTCCTGCAGCCCATTACATAAGCCATGGGGCTAGCAGAGGGGTTGCCCCCTCTCTTTAGAATCCCCTGGAAAGCCAAACTTTGAGCAAATCCTTCCCTCCCACCAGTGAGGCTGAGGGGGAGGGATCTGGGAAGAAGACAAGGTTGAGGAAGGAGGAGGGGAAAAGGAACTGCAGGCTAGATTCCAGCCTCACCCCTGGGATATGACTTGCCTCAGTTTCTCTCCCAAGTCCCAGCTCCTGGACAGCCAGCCTTTGTCCAGACTTGCCTTGTGCTCTCTCCCCGCTTCCAGAGCCTCTCTGGTCCAGCAGAACCAAGACTTTGGAAAGGGATCATCTGTCTGAAGCAGCCCCTCATATGACCTCAAATTTGGAATCTCAGACTGAAATTCTTCTAGGGACTTCTGGGGACAGGCTAGGGCCTGGCCTTACAGAGCTACTTGGCACTGACTGGGGTCCAGGCCAGGCCCAGGAGCCCTTGCCCTCTTGGCAGGCAGTTACCACTGCCTGTTCAGATTTCTGGACCCTCCTGAGGGCCAGTTTCCTGGGCGGATAAATCAGGCCTTGCAGAATGCCACCCACTTAGACAGGATGGGGAAGAGCCTGAGGGGTGGTCACTGTGGGGCTGGGGTGAAAGGTCAACCGGGACTCAGTCTGCTGCGTGTTCCTGTTCCCTCCCAAGTTTCAAGCAAGACATTTATAAAGGCTAAGCTCTGAGCCCCTCCTGGAACAGCACCGGGGAAGCCCCTGGACTGGAACAGACAAAAAACGTTAGGCACCTACCTGGAGTGCGGAAAGGGTGTTGGCTGGGGCAATGCTGCTGCCACCCGGTGAGCAGACCCTGCCGCCAGCCTCCGGGCTGCTTGGCCCCGCCGGCTTTAGCCACTGGCTGTCCTGGCGCAGCGGCAGCGGGCGAGGGTGCGTAAGTGTGTGCGCGCCCCGAGCCACTGCAGCATCTCTGCATCAGGATGCGCTCCTCCCTCTCGCAGGCTCCGCTCACTGGCTGGCTCGGCTCCTCAGCCAACGCTCGGCCGGAGATGGCTTCCTCTGCCCCCTCCCACCCCGCCGTCCCCACCCTCCTGGCCCTACCTCATTTGCTGTCATTTAAGGACCAGGGAGCGAGCCTGGAGCACGCCGCACCGCCCGCCTTTCATCAAGCTTGGCCAGCTCAGTGCCCAGCCCAGGACTGACGGGCTGCAGAGGGGTGCGCTGAGGAGGCACAAAGAAAAGTGTCTCTTGCTCCTGAAATCCTGGCGACACATGAGCACCAGGATTCTTGCTTTGCCCCTTCTCTAATCCCTTATTAAGAGGATGGAATCCAAATCAAACCACCAAATTTCTGTGTGGGGCAGCTGTGATGGAGTGGTCAGCCTCTGTCACCCCTGTTCCCTCACCCATCACATTCCTCTTCCTTGTCTTTGCCCAGAAGTAACATGGGATTTTTTTTTTTGGTCAAATTGATCAAACTATTAAAGAAATTAAAAATAGACAGTGAAAGTCCCCAACCTCCATTCTTAATAAATTTGAGTACCCGTCTCTTAGTTTATATTTTCACTTGCATTACATGGGTTATTAGGATCAGTTTATGAAAACGGGATTACAAAATACATGAAAATTTGCAAACTATATTTGACTATGTAATTGAGCTTGGTCCCCTTTGCACACCACTACACCTAGATCCAGCCCATTTTCAACCAGCAAATGGTGTGCCTTCACTCATGGGACTGGAGTCTGAGCACCTGCACGGTTCACTCTGTGCTTTGTTATCGACGGACGGTGTGTTTGGGTAAGTGCTTTGCTTCCTTGGAGCCCCACTGGTAACCTAAAAGAGTTAAAGATGACCAAGGCCTCTGCTGGCTCTAAGATCCCGGGGGCTCACCCTGGGTAGTAGCGTACCTCTCCTGCCCTGTTCCTGTCGTGTGGGGACATGCCCGGGGAAGACTGAAGCCTGCAGGCAGAGGGACCTGCCATCTGCAGCACCAGTCAGCCCTGACAGGCTGTCTCTGTTGTCTCACCCCACTCTGGTCTGCCTGCTGTCCAGGGCAAAACTGGCTAGTGGCCCAGATGCTGCAACAGCTGGCAAGGCTAGCCAGCCTCTGAGTTTTAAATGCTATCCCTGTCAAATATGAACATGGCTCCATAACACTGGCCGGTGAATGTGGGCCTGGGGAGAAGAAGGGATCCAAGTGTTTGTCAGAGAGATCCATGCCCCTCTTCTTTCGGTGCCCCTCCTGAGGGCGGGCACACCTAGGAAGCACAATTTCTTTGTTCTGGTGCAGAGATGCCTAACCTCTACCAAGCTGTTTCTCATGTAATCTTAAATTTGTGACAAGACAGTCACATCCTCTTTCTCCAGTGCATCCCATTCCTGATACCGTGGCACTGTCTGTCTGTCTGTCTGTCTGTGGCAAGCGAAGTACGTCACACTGCTAACTCCCCCACCCCCCAAGTCGGCCTTGCTCTACCCAGGGTCTCTGCAAGGTGTCTCTAGCAGAAGACAGTAGAACAGGTCCTTGCCAAGCAGGGTGACATGTCTGTGGCTATGGGCTGCTGAACCATGGTATGGAGCTGCTTACGGGATTGTTTAGACAGAGACAGCTGTCTTTGTGACTCTATTTTAGGGCAACTGCTGCCCTTGTGGTGGGGACCAGGTCTCTGGGGGAGGGTCATTAGTGTCAGCAAATTTGTTCTCAAAGACTCCCTCAGATCCCCTTACAGTCAGCCTGCCCCACCGCAGGTGGATCCTGACAGGCATAGTAGAAACAAGAACATTTACCTAGCTAGGACCTCAGTTTATAAAGACAGCTCCCAAGTTTGCCTTCTCCTTGTGTAGGGTGCTCAGCTGAGCCTGGCCCAGATGAGTTGGAGGGTGGGCACTAGGGACCTTCAGCGCCAGTCTCTGGCATGCTTTTATTCTGCGGAGTGCCTGAGGTAGGCATGCGAGGATCCAGGCAGAGCTTTGCCATGGGTTCCTAGTTTGATAAGAACAGAAGCGTTGTCTGTCTCCAGGAGGCTAGGAGCAGCGCTGAGCTTTACCCCACATCTAGGAGGGGCTCGCGCTACCCTCCCCTTGTCCCTCCTCCTCCTTTCACCTAAGATGCTGACCATATGCAGCTAAAGCAGCAGAGTGGCTGACCCAGAGCTCCTGGCTTAACTCTGCTGAGCATGCCAGTTGTCTGCTCTTGATGGTACGGAGGTTGTAGAATAGAGGACAGGGTCACTTCCTGTCCTCCTCCTGACTGGGGAGCCTGTCATTGCCTGGAATCCCCACTGTGCCTGGCTGTCAGGGCAACTTTTTTTTTTTTTCATGGAGAATCAAATTCTGGTATGTCCAGAGCATCTGAAGCTGAGTCTCCACAGACTCCCAAATGGGGTGAAAAGGGCCAGTGGATGATAGCCAAGTAGCCACGGTCTTGACTGTAAACATTGGAGCCCCTGGGAAGGCTCAGGAGGCATTCCGAGGACCGTTCAATCCTTCCAGTCCCATCTGCTCTTCTCTGCCTTAGCCCCACCAGATCAATAGCACTGGAGTCCGAGGACTCCCTCAGTTCACAGGGGCCTGTGTCCACGACAAGGAACACTCTTTGCTTCTCCCTCTCTCCTGCCATGAACAGGGTGGCTTCAGCTCTGCCGCTGAGAGAACAGCCTGACCTAGCTCAGCAACTCCAACCTGGACGACATTAGGCAAGCCGCTGAATAAGACTGGATCGCTCTAAGGATCTATTCTCCTGAAAAAGCAAATAAACAAATGTAAAAACAAAAACTAGGGTCTCTAAGCAGTCCAGACTAGCCTTGAACTGGTTATGTGACTTAGGATGACCTTGAAATTGTGATTCTCCTGCCTCTGGAGAATCCAACAGTGCTGGAGCTACAGTTGTGAGCCACCACATCTGGTTTATTTGGTCCTGGGGATGGAACCCAGTTTTGCCGGCCAGGCAAGCACTCCCTCAGTCAGCATACATTTCCAGCTTCCAACCCTATAACCTGTTCTGTAAAATGGAAATGATTTTACTTCTGTTTAGGACAGTTGTGTGGCTATGTAGGCTAACCAGTAAATTTCTAAAGGATTTCAAGAATTGCCCGGGGCTATCCGAGCTCCCATTGTTATTCCATTGCTATATTGGCCATGCAGTATCTGGAGGGAGAGGTTGTCTTAGCATGAAACTCAGTAAAACAAGCTGACTGGGTGAACAGTGGACAGTGCCCGGGTACCTATCAGAGGGTGAGGATGGAGTGGGCAGAGGTAGATGAAGGCTTCTGTGGGATAGAGAGCAGTGCCTCCTTGATCGGACTGGACAGACAGAGGGGAAAGTCAGGGATGCTTTTCTGGCACAGGACGTGGGGGTGGGAGGAGCCGGACTTCAGGGAGCAGGAGTTAGGTAGTGTCAGGAGGAGTTAGGTTGACCTCAGTAGGGGGGTCCAGACAGAAAGTCTCCATAGTCTATTCTTGCATTTGCCTTCCTAATTTCACTCAAGGGCCTGGAGGGGTCTATGGCCCAGACGGGCCTAATTATTCTCTTTGCCATTTCAACCCTGGGCTCCCGAAGCTTTTTTTTTTCAAGGCTTATAATAGACAATGCTAATGTCATTATTAATATTTAATGGTAATGATGCTAATAATGCCTGCATTTATGTGGTCTCTCCGCTCCCTCAGAGAACCCTGAGTTCTTCTTCTTCTTTTTTTGAAACAATTTGGCAGAGCACAGGGACAAGGGAGTGGAGAGGGACCAAGGCACCAGGAAGCCGGAGCCCGAAAAGCACAGTGACCAGGCCAGGGTTGCCGAGCGGTGGGACGAGGCTGGACTAGAGTTGGTGCTAGTGGACCCTGCTTGAATTCTGCCCTGCATTGAGAGCTGGGGGCACAGGTCTGGTACAGGCATCCTTTGGTTCTGTCAAGAAGCATGCTCTCCCGGGCAGGGGTGGGGATGAAGTAACAAGTTTAGGGGCAGGTGGCCTTTGAATGTTCTGTTAAAAAAAAAAAAAGAAAGCCTTTATTGTTTATCTTAGTTATTTTCGTACATGTGCATGATAGAGTTTGCTCACCCCTTCCTGCCAAACTTCTACTCCTCAACTAGCCTCCCTTCTATAATGTCTTCTTTTATTTTTTATTTTTATTTTTTGTGGTGATTTAATGTGTTTCATCAGGGTTGTTTACGGGCACATGGTGAGAGTTTGTTTACAGGGGGATCTTATAAGTCACTACACTAATGAAGGAATGCTTCCTTTCCACCTCACCAACCATTCACTACTCTATATATTCTTAAAGAAGAGCAGGGTTCCATGAGCTCATCCCCTTCCATAAAAGGATGTTGCTGGGCCCAGTCTTGTGCAGATCAGGTTATCACAGATGCTGTGAGTTCAAGAATACCACAGCCGTCTCACTCCCGGGAAGTCAGTGTCCCACATCACTTCCCCCCATTTCTTCAGCTCTTATATTCTTTCCTCCCCTTCTGGGATCTTCTCTGAGCCTCGGAGGGGTGATAGAGATGTCCCAATATGCTTGGGTATTCATCATTTAGCCTTAGGGCTTTGACTTTGGAGCCGGACTGTGGTGGTGCACGTCTTTAATCCCAGCACTCGGGAAGCAGAGGCAGGCGGATCTTTGTGAGTTTAAGGTCTGGTCTACAGGAGTGAGTTCCAGGACAGGCTCCAAAGCTACAGAGAAACCTTGTCTTGAAAAAAAAAAAAAACTTTGACTTTGGCAATTTTATGAGTACATCATGTCCATTTAGCAAAACAACAGTAGCAGCTTCCACCCTAGGACCTATAACTTTGGACTGGGCTTATTATAGCATATGTGAATTTCTTCTGTGGAGCCGGCATCAGATCCAATCAGAATGTGATTGTTAGCTCACGTAACAGACTTGCCACTAAGGCACCAATGGGATCATTTTGCTTGCCAGTTGGCATTGCTGCACACAGAGTCTGCAGCTAACTGAGACTATTGATGGCAA